AAGGGCTACGTCATAATGGGTAAATGGAAACTTACAAGCTCTTTCGCGGGCTTTTGCAAATGCGCGGGCTCGGTCGGCCATTTTAGATAAGCAGGCCGATCCACATGGCTCGCGGCCATCTTGGATAAGCAGCTGCCGGGCCTCATGGCTCCGGACAGGTTCTCTTCCTTATTAATAAATGTTCTTTGTGGCATTTTTTTTTCTTTGCCAAAGTGGGTATTTTGCCTGCATTAAAAATCTGTTCAGACAGATATTTCTTTTCAATGGTTTGTTGTTTTTTTTTTTAATGACATCTGAGACTTCATCTGCTGCCTCTTAATTGGGGGAAGCTGCTTCTCCCATTATCTTGACTTTTTTTAAGCCAAACCTTTCTAAAATTATCAAAGCATCCTTTCCTGGCATTAAATTTTCCAGCTTTAGATCTTTCACCTTCCATTTGCTTTACATTGTGCTAAAGTGACTTCACTTTTTCTCAAATCATATAGGTATGCCTTTTTTTTTTGAGACAGGGTTTTGCTCTGTTGCCTGGGCTACAGCGCATTGACAACATCATAGCACACTGCAGCCTCAAACTCCTGGACTCAAGCAATCCTCTTGCCTCAGCCTCCCAAGTAGCTGGGACTATTGGCACACACTACCACACCCAGCTGCTTTTCTTTTCTTTTTTTTGTAGACAGGGTCTCATTCTTGCTCAGGCTGGGCTCTTGCCTGGCTGGTATGCTTTTCTTATAGCAATTCTGTACCCACATAAAAGCTGCATTTTCAGTATGAGATAAAAAAGATATTTTACAGAAAGTTCAAGGTTTTAGCATCTGCTGCTGTAGCTGCAGTGATGGTTTCATGAATTTCCTTTTGTTTTTTCACAATGGTCCTTACGCTGGATTCTTTTATCTTGAAATGGTTGGTGGGCAATTGCGGCTGCAGACCTCTATCTGTGGTACATACCAAGCGATTCACCCTTTCTTATGATGCCTCTGCTTCTTGGAAACACTTCCAGCATCAGTAGTGGCACTTTGTATGGGTCCCGTGGTATTATTAAAGGTTTATGGTATTGCACTAAACGCTGTAAAAAATACACACGATCCACTAGAGATCAGTTTTTACTGTAATACCGAATTTACTGGAAAGAGGATCTGCTCATACAGAGGTGATGAGTGCCACGTGGTGTTTTAAGGGTACTTGTAACACTTGAGCTTACTACAATAACAACAGGAGGTGGACACAAAGTTATTATAGTATTGCAGTATGTACTATAGTTAATTTTATGCAATTATGATTTAATACTGCATCTTTACATTTGTTAATGTTTCTCTTAAGTGTAAATGGTGCCCAGTATGGTCTGTAAGTGTTCACATCAGTTTTGATAAAATTTAACTTTCTGTAATAGATTTGGGTATATTTTATGATAGTAATTGTTAAAACAGACTAGTATCTACATATAGTTTATGCATTCATGACATACCTAACTTTTTCTTAATTAGGCTACATGGTTCATCTGTGAGTTTTTTCAAATTGACACAAAATCTCCAAAAATTTTCCAATATATTTTTTTAAAAAATCTGTGTATAAGTGGATCTGCACAGTTCAAACTTGTGTTGTTTAAGGGTCACCTGTAATTAGAACCAAGGCCTAAGCTGAGCCCATAGGGAGGTTGGGCAGCTGGAGGATGGGCATGTTGTTCCCGAGGGGGTGGATCCCAGAGATGCCCCACAGCAACCACTCCACATGGTGACTTCTATGAGGTCTTTTGAGAGTACTAGAATCATAATGCAACCCGTAGAAGAATTACAGGGAAAATTCTAGCCAGCTCCCCACAGCTGCAGTATGGGAAGCTTCACCAGAAGGGGAGCGAGATCTGATAAAAGGGATCAAAAATTCTTGTTGCTCTTCTTGTAGGAGTTTATTGTCCTTTTATGACCCCTCCCCACCCCATGCAGTGGGCAGCAGAAGCCATCTTTCCACAGGGTGAGGTCTTCCCTGGGTATGTGGCTACAGCACAGAAAGGAGTGTGTTGTTTCTAAGCATTAAACAACGTATTTCCGACTTTCAGATTGACTTCTAAAGACTCATGTTACGTGAGGAAGAAGCCCAGAAGAGCAGGAAGAGGAAAGAAAAGGAGTCAGAAATGGCTCTTACTCAGGTAAGGTGATCTTCTCAGCATATCGTTCTGAGTCTCCCTCCTTTCTGAAGTGCCGGCGCTGGAGTTGCTGATCTCTGACTCTGAACCATCCAGCCCAATGTGTCTGCTCATGTTCACCCCTGCCTTCCCTCAGTCCCTGTCATCTCCGTGTAGATTCCGTCTCACTGTGATGCAGTGACATGACCTTGAGAAGAGGTTCCACTGGGCACGGTCCTGGAGAGCGCTTCACACCCAGACGTGGGTTGGAGATGGGGTGTGGCCCTGTGGTGTCAGTGCTGTTGGGAGCAGGGACTGTTTGGGGGCCACGTCTGGATGCACTGTCCGCTCTCTGTAGGCCGGGATTAGAGATACTGCACGTGGAGGTCATGGGTTAACATGCACAAATACCTGCCAAATTCTAGAAAAGGAAACCTGCAAGGGGAGATGTTTTCTGTCTGATTTTATTCTACATTTGAAGCTAAGTAGGT